AGATCTTTCACTGGAAAAATATCAGTAGGAGACCTGTGTTAGAGATTGATTCCCTGAGTCAATAATTTTACTGTGTCTTTTTATTAAATACAATATTTTTTCTTCTAGGGACTAATTATGATTAGAATATTCTTTCAAGATAATCCTTAAGTTATTCACAATCCCTAAAGGTCATTGGCTTCTAGAAGAGTTGCCTCGCTGACTTGCGGAATACCCATTCCATTTGCCCTTGCAAAGTATTGCTCTAAATAGTGAGAGAGCAGATCAGCAGCAGATACTTGCTGCTGTATGTTTTTGTTTTTTTACCTGTACACAGGGGACTTTTCTTAAGACAGCATGGTATCTTGTGGGTGAGCAGGATTATGCAAACAAGCTGCAAAGTGACAGTTTGGCTCCATGGGAGAGGCCATGCAACCATGCCGCATCCATTGCATAAGTAGGAGCCTGCTTGCAGGAAGCTGGAGGCATTGTGTAACTTTGAAAACTGATATTCTGTGAAAATGAGCTCCATTTGTTGTCTTTGAGTTGGAATGTATTAAAAAATAATTGAAGAATGTGTTGTCGTAGATCTTACTTGAAGAAGTTTCTACTATGTCACTGAAAAAAGGCCATCTCATATTTTAGGAATACAAAGATCAGCATGATCTTTAACTGGGCTGTTACTATATTTATTATCTAGGAGCATTCCGGAGACCACTGGTAACTTGTTTGAATTGGGAGGATTTGAATTGGAGATCTGATGTAAGCTCCAGATCTTTCTTTTTCAGAGTCTCACTGGTTGTGTAGCCTTGCTTGAGCAGGTCAGCCTTGAAGTTACCAGCCTGCCCAGCCTCCTAAGTAGGTGGCTCCACTTCTTTAAATAAAGGGACGATAAATCATTTTGCTAAATGTAAAAATCCTTTGTCTCAGAACTGTTTCCCAGCACACCAGTTAACTTTAGCCTTTAAATAACCAGCAGTAGCGCATGCAGAGAAGAAAATGGGAAGGCGCCTGTGCTTTTGTGCCCATGAGAGGACGCCACCAGGTCTGGACAGGACATGCTGTCCCATACTGAGTTCCAGATGTGTCTTTTTCGCCGTGCTCTACAACATCCGTCTCTGTACTGGGTTTCCCTGGCTGCCTGATTCTTTGTTATAAAGACAGGAGGTTCTGCCCGAGCTCGAGGGGCTATCTGTTGATGGCCTTCTTGCTGGCAGAGCCCCATGGCAGTGCAGGGCATCATGCGTCAAGAGGCAGGGAGAAATCTTAAGATTCCTCAGTAAGGCTGACGAAGCCTTGACTCTTCAAGGAAGGAGCAGCCTGTACAGTGTGTGACAGTTGTCTGTGGCTGGTGCCACGGAGTATGATGGGCGGCTGTGGGTTAAGTTAGAGATGTGTATAGCGATTTCTCATTCACAAGTGGACACTTAGGGGAATGAATGTGTCTGAGCATTACTTGAAATACGTAGTCTTTAGCTTGTCCATGAGTGGTGATGACTTTATAGCTGTCTGCTGGCTTTTCAAGAATTTTGCCTGTAAGATGTCATGAAAACCTCAGAGCAGAGAACACATGGCAGAGGCTGGATGCATCTAAGAATTAGTGAAGCAATTCTTTTTCCTGTCTAGTCTTTCTTCACTCTGGCAATTCTTAGCATTCTGATGTAACCTAGAGCATTGAGGATTCTGGTCTGCCTTCCTCGTATTATCTAGTAACCCTCTTCTAAGCCGCTAGTCTTTTGTGCTTAGGAAATATCAGTAAACCACTTTTAGAGGCTTAAGGTGGAATAGTAATATCTATACATTCAAGTAAAGTAGTAATGGCTTTAGGATTGTTCAGTGTTTACTTTATCACTACTTTTCTTTGTTTTCTTTTTTTTTTTTTTTGGTACGGGGGATCGAACTCGGGTCCTTGCACTTGCACAGCAGGCGGCGAAACCACTGAACTAAATCCCTGGCAATCACTAATTTTCTGCATTCAGATAATGTCTCTATTCTTACCTCTGTTCCTTATCTCATAGTCTGTATTTATTTCCTTTCTATTTCAAATTGATTTTGGTGCCACTGTACTTTCATCATAGCGCTCATCACCTTTGGTCTGAGCATGTCTCACCACTTCTCCCCTCAGGTTGAAACCGTCACCTGTCCATCTGCTTACCCAACACACATGAACACACATGGTAAACAACACACACGCTTGCCTTCAGGAAGCCTCCAATCTAGAGGAGCACTCAGACAAGTAAACAGACCATCCATAAGGGCTGAGGCTTATGTTTAGAGGGCTTCGGAAGTGTACAAGAGGGGCTTTGGGTTTGGAGGAAAGAGGAGCTAAGCTGAGGTCTAAAGAAGTTGTAGCAGGCAGCGAGGCAGACAAAGAACATCCGGACGCCAGGAGCATTTGCACACACCTCCCAGGGAGGGTTCTGCATCTGTCCGATTATAGGAAGGGAAAGGAGAGGGAGAGGACGGCTGCTGCAGTCTGAAGGCTCCTTGTCAAGTTCTGAGACAGCAAGATGCTCAGATCGGATAAGCAGAGGTTTGCATCCTTACTTCGAGACTTCGCTGGTTACCATGTTTAAAATAGCAGCTCAATTCCCAGTTCTCTCCTCTATTCCCCTTTGCCACTTTTTCTTTGAGTATCACTGAAAGCTGTATTTCATGTTTTACATATGTATTTGTTTTTGGCTTGTCCCTCTCCCTGTTGTAAATTTAATGTAATTAGAGGTTTTTTTACTTTGTATTCACCATTGTAGGATCTAAAACAGCCCCTAGTAGAAGATAGACAGTCAGTAAACTATTGTTGAAGAAATAAGTGCTGATTTCCCTTTGTTATTTGTCATGTGACCTTGGGCAATTTATGTAACCATTTAAAGCCTTGATTTCCTTGTTGGTCAAATAGCAGTAAAACCTACCCAATGAGGAGTGAATGAGTGCTTTATATAAAATAAAGTTCTATCATTCTTTATGTTGAATCTTTGTGGCCAGATACTGTTTGGAATTTGGAATTCCTCATCTTTAGAAAGCTAGTACTATTAGACACGATCGGCATTATCTTAGCAGATCTGCTAAGTGCAGCCAATTTACATAGCAAGTTACACAGGCAGCAAACAGTAACCAAGTGTTAGCATTTTGGCCGAAAAACAAACAAATACACAAATGAATTAAATGAAGACTGTAATAGCTTTATTTGCTTTCAGCCCAGATTTTACCTTTAGAAGCTCAAGTTGGCTTTTAGAATAACTCATTTTTCAGCTTTGTGGATCCGAGCGTGGTGTGGGCCTGTGAGGCTGTGCCTGGTGCATAGCAGGTGGTCACCACACCGTTGTCCCTGGTACTTCATTCTCCTTCCGTCACCTTGTCTCTAAACACAGGGGAGAGGCTCTGAAGGTGAGGATTTCTGTTCTGTTCACTGATCTGTTTTAAGTGCTAGAAGAACACGGGGCCATAGCTGGTGTTCACTGTTTTTGACTGAATAAAGGAAGTGTCATGTTGAAATGAAACAGCCTTGTGTTAATATTTGTAAGTACCTAAAGTAGGAAAAAATTCAATTTTAATTATTATTAGTTTTAACTCAGCATGGTGGGAACACATCTGTAATCCCAGAACTCTGGAGACTGAGGCAGGAGGCTTAAAAGTTTGAGTCTATTCTGCAGCCTACCTTGCAAGCGCAAGGACCTGAGTTCGATCCCCAGTACCAAAAAAAAAAAGTTTGAGTCCAGCCTGGGCAATGTAGTGAGATCCTGTCTCAGCATTTAAAAATATTAAAATAAAAGGGCTGGGAATAAAGCTCAGTGCAAAGGCTCTGTGTTCAATCCCCAGTCCTTGGGGGGGGAGAAAAACAAACTAATTTTTAAAAGAAGATGGTATAATAAATTTGCTGCTGTAATTGTAAGAAAAATCTGTAGATTTCTGCAGTCTTATATAATACTTTCTCTCTTTCCTTCTAGTTCGTATAACAAATAATGAATGGTTCCATCATGAAAGGAGAGCCAAGGCTCATTGACTCCAAAAATATTTCCTGAGAATCTGTCGTGTAGCAAGCACTGTGATAGTTAATAGGTTGAGTGGTTAAAAAGAAAACTGTCAGATTATTTCACCTATTTCCACTCTTGTTATCAGTGTACCAACCCACATTCACTACTAAAATCACAAAGTACAGTGCTGTAAAGTAGTGCCGAGACTGCCATGTCCCCCACTGCCACCCCCAGAGGCTCCTGCATGTTACTCAGGGACACCCTACACCCACAGCCCCTACGCCATGGCTTCGGTGACGCCAGGGTACTAGGCTGTGGCAGAATGTTGGCAACTCAAAGCACTCACTCTTCTCTGCTCCATTCGGAGTAGTTTTCTATCCCTAATATACTTTAAACCCCACAGGCTTCAATCTGTTTCATCTTTAAAGTACAAATGGAGATTGAGTTTAACAAACGTCTTTGGGTCCTGTATTATATTTTATTATATTTTACTTATAAAGAACCTGGGGTCTTTCAAAGAATGACTCAGATAAATCCTCATTCACTTAATGGTTCTAAGTTAACTTATCTTGACATTTAAACCATTGGATATTGTAATTGTGCTACATACACTTGACTATTGCTTTGATACTTAGTTGGATCAACATTATATAAGAATACATTCTTGAAATGTATCTTCATTAGCTGTGATATGCTCTTGAGAAATTTTTGAAATTTTTAACCACTTGAGTTCTATAATATTGTTCTCATCCCCCCATGTGCGTTATAGTGAATGTGCTCTCCTTAATCTGCAGTTATCAAGAGCTTTGCTTAACTCCTCGGTAGTTGTGATAATTTGTTCGAAGGACATTTCTCATTGCTTCTTAGATAGGAAAAGGCTGGAAGAGTAGTCTGCAACCACAGCACAGTGAAGCAAACTAACCTGAATGGAGGAGCTGTCATTAAATTTTGAGAAAACAATCCACAGATAGTTCATTATACTATTCTAAAAAGTTAGATGGTAAGTGCCATTCTTCCTTTAAATTTACACAGCATACTTTCTGTTTACAGCATAAACAAATGTAAAAATTACTATGAAGTACTTGGAGTTATGAAAGATGCAAGTGATGAAGATTTGAAAAAAGCTTACAGAAAGCTTGCTTTGAAGTTTCATCCAGACAAAAACCTCGCACCTGGAGCAACAGATGCATTTAAAAGTAAACTTTTTTTAAAAGTAAACTCTTTACAGCTACTTTGCTAAGCTCTTTTTAGAATTCATTTTGCAAGGTTTTGAAATAGTAAATTCTGCATTTGGACTGGTACATTTACAAACCAGCATAAGCAAGGGCCTGTGAAGTCCTTTAAAATTGTAGCACTAGTGTACTTCATCCAGACCCGAGCCAGTGCTTTTGGTTCACAAGAGCAACCTGCCACTCTGACGGTCCCAGGTGACTGTTCTAGGGATCCCTGCAGGCGCTCTCATTACTGAATTGGAGGGTTGATGATTTTGTGTGATTCCTAACATGTTCCATGTGTTTCTAAGTCAGACTAAAAATACAGTTTTTATGCGTTTTTACTAGAGACTATCTAGAATTGGGCTGTTAGAATACCAGTCTGCCAGGGTTCCTCTTAGATTTCTATTAAACCTGGCCACTTCTGCATTTTTCACATGCAGTTCTCACTAGTGTGGTATTTTTTTCTTTTTAAAGGTTGGTTTCTTTTCTCTTGCCTACTGTTCATTTTTTTCTTTATTTTCTTTCTCAGTATTCTTTTAATTTTTTGCCAATTCATAAATAAATGTTGGAGACTGATTTTATAATTTCAGATTTTGTTATAATTCATTTGTAATAGCTAACTTGTAGTTCAGGGTAGAATGCTTAACTTTATGATTTTTCTTGTGAATTAGGCATTCGTACCGCCTGTGTGAACTGGTGGGGTCTTAAACCAAGAAGAGCAACAGTCTCATTTTTACAGTGTTCCAAAAAGATAGAAGGCTCATTTGGTCTCTCATAAAAATACTATTAAAATTGTTTACAAAATGGTTGTATTTCTTGAAGGAAGTTGCCAAGCAGTATACATTTGGGAATTCCTAATATATTCCGGTAAGCACTGCCAAAGCAGTTACAGTGAATGAAAGTAAAATATCACTGTTGACAGTGAAAGCCTTTTCACTTCCTTGAACGAAAAGTGACATGTTAAAAGTATAGATAAGGGGCCAGGGATTTAGCTCAGTGGTTTCGCCACCTGCTGTGCAAGCGCAAGGACCCGAGTTCGATCCCTGGTACCAAAAAAACAAACAAACAAAAGTATAGATGAGTTACCGTATCCAGAAAACATGGACTTACAGATTATATTACTGTCAGTTCATCTTTTTGAAGAACATGTCTAGAAAACAGGACCATTATTTTCTATTTTTTAATACACAACTCCCGAATTAAACAAATGACACATGTAACAGCACTTAGGTAAATCTCTAATTCATTAGTCACAAAGTTCGGACATTCTGGTAAAAATTTTCAAATAGAATAAATACATTTAATTTGTTTTATTGCCACTATATAATTTCAATGAAGAATTTTAAACTTCAATAAATACAAAATGTTTTTCGTATACACAGTCACAGTTACTCGTCTCGGGATAACACTAAGTGTGTGCACATGTACTTGTGTAGCTGGTGCTGCATTTTGAGGAGGTGAGCAGCATACATGTCTCCCCAGAAAGCCAGCCGGATGCTCAGTGGGGTTTTACAAAGGCAGTTGTAGGTGGGTACAGTACATTTCAGAGATTCATGCTCCGCTTTGCAAAATGAGAAACAGTGCTTACCAGCATGCTGGAAGGTGATTTATCTCTACGAGAGAGACTTACATTATTCAGTACACAAGAGAGCATCTGTAAATCAGAATGCCAGTTTATTAGTCCCAAAGAGGGCCAGAATTGGGGAATTGGTCGATGAGTCCATTTATCATTGAGTAGAACTAAATAGAAAACCCAAGTTGTAAGCCGCAGACACTTGGTGAGCAAGTGTACTTCGAAAATCTTGGAGCCAGTGTCATCGCACAGAAACGGTAAGTTTCATTCTTGTGGCACACAGGATTTTTTTCATTACTTTCTGAATCATTTTGTATTTAACCAGTTGATCTTAACTTCTGTTTATCTCTAAGCAGAGTTAATACTTTGGTCTTTTATATAAAAGGTTAAAAGAATAGGTTGAGTATAATTACAGAATCATTATTTTATAGAAGATGGAAACCACTTGCTTTTTATTTTCTCCAAGAATACAAAAGTAAGAGGTAATTGGTTTAGGGAATTTAGATAGATGTTTCCATATGTGTGTTTTCAGCTTTAAAAATAAAAGATTTCATTCAAGGACAGTGGACTAAATGTTACTGTTTCCTCTTTTGGGATTATAAATTTCCCAAAGCAGGAAAAATTTTATTTACATGTAGAGTAACTTCCACAATATATCTAAACACATTTAAAAATATTCTAATGAAATGGATCCCTTCCCTTCCTGTCAACATAGGTGAAGAGCTGGCCTCGCATGCACAGGCCCTGGGCCTGATCCCCAGCTCCACAAAGCAGACAAACAAGCAAACAAACCAGCATTACATCATCTTCACAGATGCCCAGGTGTTTCAGAGTGAATGGTACCATGCCCGCAGGCATCGGTGTGCATGTAGTAGAGACCAGCATCTGTGGACAAGGTGCTATGCTTGTGTTAGGTGTGCTAGTTAAACACTAACGTCTAGAGTGTATGTCTAAGAACAAAGGAGTTCTATATTTTGGCCTAGTTCTTACAGAGAAATACAGTGAAATAAGTTGAGATACCCCTTCGACTTTGTAATTCATAAAGGGGACAAGTTTCACACAGAACATTTGCAATATAATAATCCCTAACACCTAACAAACATTTTATAGTTTTTCATTCTCATTTTTTAATTTAATGCTTATTAAAATTCATGTGAAGTCATCAAGGGACCAGTGTTATCCAGTTCACAAATAAGAAAACAGACTCAGATCGACTGACCCAGTTGCTCCTAGAAGACTGACTCTTAACTCAGAATCAAGATAGAAAAATGTGTGGAACAAATTAAGACAGAGGAGGTAGCAGTACGATCAGAGCCATTGGAGAGGCCTTCACAGGGCTGGTGAGAGAAGGACTTCTCCAGAAGCGAGTGATCGCTATGGGGAGAGGAGAAGAGGGTGCTGGAAGCTGGGAAGTGAGAATGAGGCATGAGAGTTCTGCTTTTAGGAAGACAGAACAGGCACACTTTGCCTACATATTCCTCCTGCTAAGTACAACTGAAAACCCTGAACGTTATGTAAAAAACAAGGAAGATGAACACAGGAAGATTCTGAAAGCTGGAAAAAAGAGGGTGGACCGGTTAGGTACCTCAGGGAAAAACATGGTAGAGTGAGTTGCTCGCATGTTGTTTACTTTTGTTTTGCCTGATATATTCCAGATTGGGTGCTGGAGGAGCAGGCAACCCGAAATGCCAGTGACATAGACAACAAAAGACAAGTCTGTTTTCTTTAAACAACTGGGAAAGGAACAGCCTAAAAACCAGAAAAAGAATAGCTACTCTACTGCAGTGAAATACCACAGACCTAAACTGGCCCCACCTTGACCCATCCTAGCAAAGGCCGAGGAGAGAGCCCAGACTGCCCAGCCCTCTGTGTGAAGAGATGGTCGGATTTTTAAGAAAGGCTCCTTCCTTTTTTACTCTTCCTCCTCTGTCCCAGCCTGAAGCATCTCTTCACACAGAGGGCTGGGCATTCTTCTCACTGGAGGGGGAGCCTAGTGCAGCATTAGGCCCTTCACCAGCACCCCAGGTTACAAAGTCATGTCCTGTGTTGGCAGCACACCCACACAGTGCAGAAATGAGGCGTCCCTTCTAACCAGGCAGTCATGAAGTGCAGTCCTGATGGGAAGCTGGAGATCTCAGCCCTGCCCAGGAATAATGAGAAGCCCCTGTCTCCTGCTTGAGTGTCACCAAAATCCAAGGGCAAACCCTGAACTGTTTCCGCTGGAAGTGATGAGCTACGCTCCCGCCTTACTCTGCTAGAGAGGTGTCAGGGGAAGAAAATTAAAACAGGTTTAAATCAGACCCAGAATCTCATAGTAGCCCCAATAAGTTTCAATTGAAAATCAGTTGGCATTACAAGAACGAGGAACTCAAAGCTGAATTTAAAGTTAATCAATAGATGCCCACATGACAAAATTTAGAATTGCCTAGCAAAGATTTTTAAAGTAGCTATCATAAAAATGTTTCAATGAGCAGTTACAAATATTCTAGAAACTATGACATAAGAGCCTCAGCAAAGAAATAGGAAGCCTGAGCAAAGAAGTAGAAGCTATTAATGACAAAATGAAAATTTTACAACTAAAAAATTTTAGAAATGTAAAGCAGCAAAGACAAATGATGCTTAATCTATAGGGCAAAAGCAGTTTGAATGATGGGAAGTTTTATGTCAGAAATGATAGTGGCAGAAGAAAGTTGTATATTTTTCTTGTTTTTTTTTTTTTTTTTTTTTTTTGGTACCAGGGATTGAACTCTGGATCTTGTGCTTGCGAGGCAGGCAACAGAACCACTGAGCTAAATCTTTGGGCCTAAAAGTGGTATATTTTTCAAATGCTGAAGTAAAAGTTACTATCAGCCCACAATCTTACACTCAGCAAAAATAGACTTTTCTTTCCAAAAATCAAGACATTTTAAGATAAAGGTAAAATAAGAGAATTTGTCATTAGTGGACATGCCCTAAAAAATACATCGGAAGGAGGTTCTGTAAACAAAAGGAAATGAAAGAATGCATCTTAAAAAGGTACTGTGGTCTTGTTTGTACCCCACTTCACCCAAGTATGTACATTGAAACCTGCTGGCCAGTGTGGTGGAGCCTGTGGAGGGGACCAGGAAGCAGGCCCTCCTCAGACACCAGACCTGCTGGGCCCTTGGTCCCAGATTCCAGACCTATGAGAAATAAAGTTGTATATATAAGCTGCCCAGCTTATGACGTCTTCTAATAGCAGTCTGAATGGACTAAGACAAAGGGTAAGGAAACATATAGGTAAATACAATATATTTGATTTTCTTCTTGAGTTTCTAAATTATCCTTGACATTTGAAGCAAAAACTATAACTTTGTCTGATGTGGTTTTAAATTAATGTTGACAAAATATATAAGATAATTATATTACAAATGGGGGAATATAAAAGGAA